TTCTCCACCTTCAGGCCTTTGTGGGGTGCACACCACCCTCCCCTCCCCCTTCCTCCCTCTCCCCTTCCTCCCCCACCCTTGCCCCACTGCCCCACTGTCTCTCTCCCTCCTTGCCCCCTTCCCATCCTCCCTTCTTTCCTGCTTCCCCCTCCCCCTCCCACTTTCCTCTTTCCCCCTTTCTGCCTTTCTCCTCTCCCTCCTTCCTGACTTCCCAGCACACTGCCATCCCTGCCAAGGCTCAGCCACACATCCCTGCCACCACAGCCCTCTCTCCTGTCAGGCTTGGGAGTCCCCACCTGACTTGGACTCCTGTGTGGTCCCCTGCACTGCGGGAAAGGACAGCCCTGGCCTGTTGTTCAGGCCCAAACCCTCTATCACTCCACTGGGTAAGCTAGTTTGTGCTACTCACCAGCATCTGCTCCACTCTTCCCAGCTTGGTGGAGCTCCTGCCTCTCCCACAGGCTGGGCTGGTTGACCCTCTGGGCCACACAGGCAAGCTCTGCTGCTTGCCTCCCTGATGCCCTCAGCCCCCACCCTGTACCCAGCACTTGCCCAGTGAACACGCTGGACCCCTGCTCCCCCCAGCTTCCCCTTCTTGTTTCAGCTCGGCCTCCTCCCTGCCCCTCTGCTATCCACACCTGTCCCCTCCAGTGGCACTCAACGGTCCACCTGTCTGAATCTGATCTCCTCTTGGACCACAGCTCCTGGAGACTGTCCTCAGCCTGCTATGAATCCCCCTCAGAAGAGGAGGGGACCTCAAGGGGGTTCTGTCGTGTCCACCTATATCCTCACAAGCAGAATAAATGTCAGGCAGTAAACAAAAGCAGTTGTATTAATGGTGAGTGTAAATTACTTCCTTGTAATGAAGTAACCTCAGTGGGAGAAGCCAGCACTGTCTGGAAGGGTACAGACTTGGAGGAGGACAGTGACGTCACATTCCACCAACTTTAAAGCTGCCACCGCTGATCTTTCTTACAATGTTTAATTGGGATGTAAACAGTCGTCAGGAAAAAAGTGGCAAGCAGAGGTGATGGAAACCAGGAGGAAAAAGGGTGGTGTGGCTGTGTTTCACATTCCTGTGTGTTAGGAACAGTCTCGGGTTCCATTTAGTTTTTATCAGACACTTATGTGCAGAATTCAGGGGCCCTGAGAAGACATGGGGCATTATCTGTGACCTCCATGTCCTTGCTGGGCCTCCAGGAATCATCTGAGCACACCGGCCTGGAGCTCCCCAGATGTCTACAACTTCTGCAGAATTGTGGTTTTGAAAGTACTTTGGGAATGGCTGCTGAAACTGGGGACAGGAAGGACATGCGTCTTGTGAGGCCATGGCCGTAGATCTGGAGTCCCTCCTGGAAACTGCTGAACAATTGAGACTTGAGTGGAACAACCAGGAAGCCTCTTAGCTCAGAGTCCGGGGTCCTTTGCCTCTTCTTGGTGGACAGCCTTGGGGAGTTTTTCAGGGGATGGCCTGTGTCTGATGAGCTGTCTTCACGTCTGCTCTCACTCTGGAAAAGGAAATGAGCCTCCTCTCCCAGCACCCTGGCTCCCCGCACCCCCTGGGACTCTGCCAGGCACCTGTCTCATTCCCTGCTTACTCTCTGTGCCGCAGTCAAGGGATTTTCTGCAGTCCTGTGTTCTAATTTCCAGATTCTCTCCTCAATATCTGCACTCTGTTCAGCTTATCTGGTGCTCTTTAACCTCACAATTGTGTTTTTCATTGTCAGACGTTCTGTGTGGCTGGTTTTCGGACCTGCCACTTTCCTCTTTTTTTATTGCTACTTTTATTTCTTTGCAATTTCATAGTTACCTAACATTCTATATTAGATTTTTTTGGTGTCTGAGATTCTGTTAATTGTTGTTTCTACTGACTCCTACCGTGGTGGGCTTTTTCCTTGGGTTTTTTGATTGTGAGCTCATATTCAGGTGGGTTCACTTTTTGGAACTCCCGGGCTTCGGCTTCGGTTGGGCTGCTCTCCTCCCAGAAGGATTTGTGCTTGCTGTGCCTCTCTGCCTGGACAGCTCTACTCTCTGTGGGCCGTGGCCAAATCAAGAGTCTCAGATGGAGTGGACGACTGTGCTGTGGCGGGGGCCCCTGCCCTGGTGGTGCCTGTGGTGGGGGCCCCTGCCCTGGTGGTGCCTGTGGTGGGGGCCCCTGCCCTGGTGGTACTGTGGCGGGGGCACCTGCCCTGGTGGTGCTGGCATTTGTGAACTGCTCACAATTCTGTCCTGTTCTCGTCTCTCTCAGAGAGTCCCCTTTACTTTTCTGGAGCGGCAGTGGGTTAAATAGCGAGTTTGTCTCTATACTGTCTTTAAAAAAAAAATTTTTTTTTAAGTCTCACTGTGTTGCCCTTGGTAGAGTGCTGTGGCATCACAGCTCACCGCAACCTCAAACTCTTGGGCTTTAGCGATTCTTTTGCCTCAGCCTCCCAAGTAGCTGGGACTATAGGTGCCCACCACAACATCCAGCTATTTTTGTTGTTGTTGTTGTTGTCATTGTTTTTAGGAGGCCTGGGCTGGGTTCGAACCCACCAGCCCCAGTGTATGTGGCTGGTGCCCTAACCATTGAGCTATGGGCTCCAAGCCTAAAATAAATTTTTATAATAAATTTTAAACTGTTCAAAAAGATAAATTGTACTTAAAAAAAAATATGTTTGTGGAACTTTACCTGCCTCTTGAGTCCTCCCAGAAGCTCTGGCCCAGCAGCCTGCCCGAGGCACAGAGCACAACAGCACTGCTGCCAGCCCCATGCTCCACTGCCACCCCCTTCTCCAGTCTCTCTTTGGCTGTGGGGCACTCCTCTCTCCTGGTTCTTGAGTTTCAGCTAATTTGGGTCGTGTAGATGTTGTGTGGAGAGATTTTCAAGTGCTCTTTGTTCAGTCTGTCAGATTTTAAGAATGTAGTTCTGATGACGTGTGTGGTATGAAATGCCTCACTGCCTTCCTGTTAGGACATTTACATTTTATGATTTATTTTTCAAGTGTCATTATTGACAATATTTCTGATTCCGTGTATGGGCTTGCAGATTTTGTTGTCATAATCTCAAGAGAGTAATTTGCTTTTTAAATGATTTACACTATAATGAGATCGTAGGTAATAATTTATCTTGGGCACAGGAAGAGTGGCAGCCATGTGCAGTGTGTCGTGGGGGTTGGGGGGGGAGGTCCTGCCCTCAGCCCCTGAGAGAAAACCAGCCCCACAGGTGAGGGCCACGCAGCGGCTTGCCAAGTGTCTGCTCTTTCACCTTCCTGTCTGACAAGACAAGCTACAGAGTGGGCACACATTGGGGGTGTTTCTACCATTGGAAACTTGTCGAGGTGGCAGGACACTCCTACACTGGGTTTTCATGTTTCTGAACCTTGTGCTCACAATGGTTTGAAGCAGCAACTGAGGCTTCCTTTCAGGGGACCTGCCCTGTGGGAGCACAGGGGTGGGCTCTCCCAGTTCCGCAGGCACAGGTCACCCCTGGTGAGGGTGGGGAGGGGAGCCCTTCCACACCACGTCTGCGCAGTAAGCAGAGGGGCTGTTCCCCGGCAGGCTGAAGGCAGAGCTCAGCCCGGCCCTGAGGGATGCGTTTCAGAGTGCCTGTGCACTGTTCCCCCAGAGGTGGGGGTCCAGCAGTGCCTCCTGGCCACAGGCTCCCTCTTGGGCCTTCCCCTGGGCCTCAGTTACTTGGATTTTGGTCTTAGGGTCTCAACCCCCCCTATTTATCCCCACTTCCTGGGAACAGCCCAGGATTTAGGGAGAGATATTGGTGGGAGGCCTTACACTGTGAGCAGACTGGTTAGAGATGGCACCCTTCTGGTCAGCGCCCTTGTGGCCACCTGTGCCTTTGGCAAAGAGATAGGACAGAAGCATAAATCCCTCCCAGGCCCAGTCCTGAGGGTGCTGTTTTCTGGCTATGCCAGATCCCAGGGAGGGGCCTGGGAAGGTGAGGCCAAGACTCCTCTGTGGCCAACTGGGAGCCACAGGTTTGCTATCACCTTAGGGGCTGGGAATGTCCCGCCAGGCCGAGGGCAGCAGTGTCCTGCCCAGGCTCAGCGTGGCAGTCTCTGGGTCCCTCGCAGCATAGCCTCTCCTACTCTGCTGGGGCCCTCCACACTGACCCCAGCTGCTCTGGCTCCAAGTATCAGCCCCCTGGCATACTCCCCACCTCAGCCCCTCCTGCCCTGATTCTCCTCCTTCAAGGTGCTGGTGACCCTGGGGCTTGTCCTGCAGGGGCACCCCAGGAGCTCTTCCAAATTCTCCATGTGTGTCTTTCCTATTAAAGAACCAGGTGGTTTTTGCCATCCTGGGAGTCTATCACGCCTGGCCTCAGTCAGCCAACTGCCAGCTCTCCCGTGTGACGTGTCTGTTCTTGTCCCTGGTACCTGTAAGCCAGCCGCCCTCTGCCCTGTCAGCCGCTGCCACTCTCCCAGGCCCCTCCTTGGAAGCTTCTCCCCGACTTGCCTGCTTGCGGCCATTCTTGGACTGCTTGGGCAGGTGGCTGGGCACAGCTCTGGGCTTGACACCTTCTCTGCTGCTACCTCTGGGTCATGTCACCTCCCTGGGCCTGTCGAGTGGAGGTGGTAGCCAGGTGTGTGTGACCTCGGGACAGCTCTGGCACTGGGCACACCTCCCTCTATGCTGGGGGACATTAAAACAGGCGGACACTGGGGCTTGACACTGTGTCACCTACAGGGGTATCTACTGAAATGTGTCCAGTTCTTTTCGTTGACGTTATTGCTAAGATTTTGTGCTGGAGTTTGTTCTTTCCAGATGAAAAAGACGATGACTTCCTCTTGTTGGGTGTCACCCAGTTTGGGCGGGGTTGGCTCGGAGGTGGGAGCTGTAACTCTTGAGTCAGTGAGCTGTCTGGCTTCCTCAGACGGCTGCACCTGGACAACTTCTCCAGGAACCTCCCAGAGAAGCTTCCAGTTTGGGTCCTGAGATGGACATACTATTTCCTGAGTTTTGTCATGAGGCTTAATTAACTCATGTCTCTCTCTCTTTTCTTTCAGTCTGCAACTGTGTCTGATGGTGGTAAGTCACAATTTCTGATGTATATTTTTGTTATTTTTAACAAAGTTTTCAAATTGTAAACGTGTATTTGCCAGTCAACTTGCTCAAAAAGATGTTTTCTTTGCCTTTCCCTGTCTCTTTGTGGGAGAGTTTTAGTTGGGGTTGATTTAGGGGGACCTTCCTGTCACGTCCAGGTGGCTCCGGCCTGAGTTTGGGAGTTGCTTGTTATGGAGTGCGCTGTGCCTGAGCTGGAGTCTGCAGAGTGCCTGTGGCCATGCAGGGGTGAGGGTGGGGACACGTGCTTGGGGTGCCCTCCGTCACATCCTGAGTTTGACAAGTTACAACGTGTGTGTGCTAGTGCCTTGTTGTGTAACCAGCTTTTAAACCAGCAAGTTAAAACTTCAAAGTGCTTGCTGAATTTGAGCAATTCTGGAAATTTGGGTGAGACTCTGGGTTACTGCTTCCTTTTCTCAGGAGAAAGATGGTGGATCAATTAGTGTGGGCTCAGGAGCAATCAAAATTTCCTGTCTTTGAATAATTTTATGCACAGGAATTCTTTTCATGGGATCAACTCAAAAAGGAAATCGCCAGAAATGTCTTATTTCACGTAAGATCTCTCTGATGTAATCCTTATCATTTTCGTTTGGTGATTTTTAAAAAAA